ATATATAGAGAGAGAGAGAGAGAGAGAGAGAGACATAATTTTTAAGTACTTCTCGAATTTTCTTTGTGTTTACTGTTTTTTGAAATCTAATTAATTGATTTATTTTTTTCTCTATAATTGGGATTGTATTTTCGTTTCATTATTTTCTATTTTACGGTAACTGTTATACGTCTGCATCTCACGATCCCTCTAATTTAAGAGAACAATAGATGAGCACTACTTGAAGAATGCTATTTTCGATTCCTCTGTTATTTACAGCGACAGAATTCCAATTAAATCCACAAAAAGCTTCGTCCAAATCGATCGTTATTTCCAAGCAATTAATTTTATGGTCGCCGCAAATTAGTATTACTCCTAGATTGGACGATAATTAACTGGCATGTCAATATCCGTACAATAGTATTTGACTTCGCAAAATTTTTAAAACTTTCTAGAGACTACAATTTGTTAAGAGGCTGTCGCTTCTTAATTGGCAATTAAAAAAATTACTAGAAGATCTGCAACGTGTGAAAAAACTCTATCCTTTTTTATATAGTCTCAAAAGCAATTTTCAGCAGTTCTGTAAATATAATTCTTATTGACTTGCTTGATTTGCGGCGACTTGTGAGATTTTCTCATGAAAGTCCGAATGGAATTAGTTTGCGCTACGTCATTATGGAGCCGAGTCACAGTACCGAGTACGCAGATACGGCCCGTGGAGGTGTATTCATTCGCAAAAACGAGCGTGCTTATCGCGGCAGTGAGAGGAGAGAGCAATTTCATGAGTTCGGTGCCATGGTTATTCGCGCGTGCACGAAAACAGTCGATGGCCACAGCGCGATAATGGAATTTAATAATGCGATATGCGTCTTCTCTCTCTCTCTCTCTCTCTTTCTCTATTTCGGTCTCCCTCGCTCTCTTCTCATATCTCGGCGCTCTTCTCTCCTCTTTTCGCCCCTCATCGTCTTTCAGTTACTCCTCCTCGCAACGATGCGGCGCGGCACCGTTGAGCAAGTGCACGGGCATGTCGGGCCAAGCGCGCGCGCTCAGTGGCTCGGTTCGCCGGTTAATTAGCCATTAAATATCAAGCAGCCGGCACGAGACTGCACGCAGATGGTATTTCGGATCAGTTAGAGCAGTTAGCAATGGGCAATTACGGATAATAAACAGACTGCCGCGACTGCGGCAGCGTACGGCGCGCGTGGCGTGTTGTACGAATGGCCCGGAAAGGCCGAGTGTGTTTGTACGATGCAGAGATGCATAAAAATCGAAATACCATGAAGTATAATGAATACAATAGATTTCCGATGCCCGGAAAAAAATTGATATTTTCCTTTTAAATCTCTGGCACGAGAGTTAAGATCATCGTAATTGATACAAAAATTTGAGTTGAAACTCAGCGGGATTTAAAAACGTGCAGAACTAAAGGAACAGCAACTCGAGAGGAAAATATTTATTTCGCGTCGACAGCCCAATTTCAGATCGACCGTGTTTTGAATCTGATACGTCCGGTATATGTCATATTTCTTCGTACACAAAACGAATATTGAGCGCACCGCAAAAATACCCGTGCTTTCATGAACATGGAAATTCGGCGTCGAGAATACACTCACGATAATCATTTTGCATTCGTTTCAAGGTAGATTAATTAATCGGCACGCTCAAAATATCGAACCTACTGGATAAGCCATTAGCATTAATATTTCATTATTCCCGCGCACTACGCGCGCGCGTTATCTAACCATCCATGTTGAATCCAGTTAAATGTGAAAATCGTCCTGTTTCGAGCTTTCTCGGATTTGCCGTATTCGACGAACGTATTCGATGTCGGACGTTACTGATCGCGATTTGAGCGAGTGATCGATTGCGCGCCGCGCTGGCTTTCTCTTAGCGTAACAAGTCTAGCGTTCAAGTGAAGTAACAACAATTGCGGTTCTGCAATAGTCGTACATCTTCCCATTTGCTTACAATTTAATTAGAACATTTAATATTTAGAAACTAAATTATATATTTAGAATGAGTGATTAATGTGCAACAATATAATGTTACAATTATATAATATTTGAATAAAGAGAATGATTAGATGTAGGCTCAAATAGTACAATCTTCATATTTTTTTTTAGAAATTTAAAATTCATTCTCTGATTACTTTAACTTATTTTCAATTTTATCGAATCATTGTCATGCCTCTAATTAGGATATTATCCTTCCTGCAAGTGTGTTCACTCATTTTTGCTTCACACGTTAATGAGTAAGTTTTCAGTTTTAACATAAGATTTTCACGTATTTGAATGAGATATTTACAGACATGTCGTTGACATGTGTATATGGAACACATATATACCCTAGACAAGCAATTCTTACCTTTGATAGGTTGCCTGAGGTCCACCCGGTGTCACTGCGGCAGTCGTGTTTTGTGTTGCGAGCGCGAGCTTCTGCTGTCGATGTTGGAGCATCTGCCTGCTGAAGACCCCATATCCGAAGCCATAGATTTCGTCCTCCTCCTTGTCGCTGAGGCAGCTCGAGGGCTGCACAAAAATGGAGATCGTTCGCTCTTTTCCTCTATCTATACGGGACGGTGGGTTTTGCTTGCGAAGCAGTACTGGCTACCACTTACGTTGTAAATGGGAGGAGATACGGGGACGGTATTAAGAACTCGTTACATGGAGGTTGTTGTGCCGCAGAATTTTATGAGAAAAAAGACGGTTCGGTTTACTTTATAAGAGTTTAATATAAGCCGCAAGCAATTAATAAATATATATAAATAATATAAAAAGGATTTTTACGTACATGTATTTTTTGTTTAATTTTTATTTTTTTAATTTTATGCAAAATTTATATTATCAAGTTTTAATTTCTACTAAAATATTTGTGATGCAAGAAATTCGAGCTAAAAAGGTTGTTTTATTAAATTTTTGATAAAGCAGAGTGTCAACACAAAATTTTATATTATAGTTTATTTTATATTTATATTATATGCTCATTATAATAAATATGTTTTGACAAAAATATTTCCTTTTTTGTTTGTAGAACTACGATTATATACTTTGTCTTTTAAAAATTTGTCCACTGCAGCGTATCGTTTTTTGGGGAAACAAAGTTAACTTCTATTTCAAATATTCACGAGAATTATGCTATATTTTATTAAGAAATTTAATAATGTAAAGCACACCAAATTTTAATAGCGCAAAATCAAGAAAGAGAATTAAACGAGGTTAAGCAAAATAATCGAGCAATTGTTTTCGCATTTAGTCAAAATGTGATGTTCTGGAATGAAGGACTTATATATTAATTTTCCACATCGACACATCATCGATTGTCGAAATGGCCTGATTTTAATGGTCAATCAATTGCTCGCGTTTGATAACTCGATTAGCCGCGGGAAGAAAGACTGAATAACGAACAATAACCGATTTAAGCTGGGATCGATAGGGTCTACATGGTTAATCGCCTTAAAGCACTTTGGGAAGTTACTCATGAAGGAGCCACGAGCCCACAAACGCAAAGTGTTCGAACTTTCCGTAAAGGATTTGGATCGTCGAAGGATCGTGCGTAGGGAGGATTAAGTCCGTACACTTGTTTCGCATCAAAACACTTTGTTTATTCGCACTGTTTTATACGTGGTATGTTATAAATTTTATGTATGCGTCCACCACATCGAGACTCGCGTCACTTTATCTGGTGGAATGGCGCGGTAGTTCCGTGTCGCAATCTGCGTGGTCGAGGGCTCGGCCTCGGTGGTGCGGCAGGTAATGGTCGCAATTCCCTTTATCGAGGACTCGGCCTCGTGCGGCGAGGACTCGGCCTCGAATTGCGAGGATTCGTCCTCAGGCGGCGTGAAGCTCGGCTTCTTGCCGGAGGACTCGGCCTCGTGATGTCCGTGCGGCACGCTCGACCGGAACTCGCTTGCCGGATGCGTCCGCCGGAAA